CAGAAAATGTTAAACCCATGCCAGTACCTTGAATTAGACCTTTTTCACACCGGAGTTCTTGCTAGTTTCAGGTTTTCAGTATACCTATTTTAAATAAGTCACAGATAGAAACAAAAAAAGTTTTAGACCTTGAAAAAAAAAATGTATTCACAGTGTGAAATAGCATAGAGGTATATAATTGCTATGATAATAGTCAATATACTATGACAATGATGTTCATTACGATACTGTCATAATCACTGTTTATGATACATGGATCTTTGCTTCCATAAAAACCCAGGACTTACGGAGGCATGAGTGGCAATTGCTTTGCAGCGTTACCAAAGCAACTAATATCAAATTTTGCAATTTCGAACTGGATGCCATTTCAACTCTGATGATCAAGCCCAGGTGATAATGTAAATTTCATAGTCAATTTGTATGCACTTCATTGCCATATGAAGACCATATGATGGAATTTTACTTCCACTATAACTATATAATTTTAGTTTACTGTTATGATGACCGTAAATGGAATTTAGCTATCTACCTTTCTACTTCCTTTGACTCTCCGCCATAAGCGACCACTGTCCGTATGGATGATAACACTTCTTCAGCAATTGACCCTGCTTGGGCATATGCATCTAATTCATGGCTTGTGGCTGACGTCATCATCTGCGAGCAATAAATAAGAACAATTACAAAGTATTACCAAATAATTGCATTACATAATCTCTATGAGTTATCAAAATTAGGAAATATAGAAAGAATGGTATCTCACACACTTTAAAACAAAATAACTACCGGTAGACCATTTTGAATCTGAGCATTAAGATAATGTCCAATGAATATATCAAGTTTGAACAAAACTGATTCTGATTCCAAAATGATTGATTTTGATGAATTTTTAATACTCTCAATTAACTTTATGTATCAGAATTTAGCAATATGAGAACCAAAGTGACAACTGTAGTCAGCCATACTTGATAAAATTCCAATGTAAATTGATGTGCACATATAAGTCGTCATCCATGGATCCATGGTCTGTGTGATAAGTTTGAATGTGATTGATCAAAGCATATTAAGGAAATTACTTTGAACAGAACCCAAATTTTGTTCGACACAGGGACAAGAAATAGTTTTTCATTTTAAATTTGATTACAATCTATAGAAGACAGAAAGGGGGAAAAAATGCTTTCATAATTTCATAAATATTGTGAAAAAAAAGTGACAAATAGTCGTTACCGAGGCTAGTTGAAAGGGGAGTTGTCAACACGCAGCACATATTCAAATTGTGTTGTAAACAAACAATGTATTTTACATTCATTCTATACATTGCTATGAGTCCCATATTCATCAAGACAAGGGCTACAATCACTACACTTTAATCGATTACATATCACTGTAATGTGACAAACAATTATTTATGTTACCAATAAAAAGATATCGAATATAAATATTACCTTGACCATGACTGCGCCACAAATAGCTAAAAGTGGAGACACACATAATATAACAAGAGTCAACTCCCATCCATAGACAAAACCAACTATGAAACCAGCTATAAATGTTGAAAAGAACTGGAAAAACTGTCCTAGCTTATCCCCAATACCACCCTTCACTTTGTTAACATCACTGAAAGAAAACAGATCATGGTAATTTAAATTTGACACTAACAACAATGTATTTTGTGGTCGAATGAAGGTTGCATTTACTCTTGCTAATAGCACAGAACATTGCGATTCAGAGCACAGTGTTATTTAGTATGGCAGCTATCATGAAAAAACAGCTTAATTTGAATCCTTATTCATAGATTTCTTGGTGTGAATCGAATGAACTCCATATTCGGATAGTACATATTAGTCAGCTCACTGTTACTAAAAAAACTCACTCATTCAATCTTGTTGTTATTTCACCACTCGGATGTGTATCAAACCAACCAATTTCTTGCTTCAGGACGGCATCGAAACAGACAGTTCGCATGCGATAAGCTTGTCGTTCTGAAGTGGTTACAAAACATGCCACCTGTACGTATGATGCACCAAAGGCTGCGACACCAAGTATGACAAACATTATAGTAAATTTATTTATATCAGTAATAAATGCATCCAACATGGCTCTAGAAAAGAAACATAGTGAAATTGTAAATTTTCTCTAATCAAATTATTTGTAAACACAAGATATACTGTGATATGCAATAAAGATCTCATTCAGTGTGAATACATAATCAAAATTTATGTCTAACCAATGGTAGCACAGAAACTAGTAAACAATTGGAATAGTTTGATTATGTTAATTGAAGAGAAGAAGTTATTTCTGTATTCAAAAATGCAAAATGCACATGTTTTGTGAATAAGCAGAGACACAGCCCCAGACGAACATCACCTGGTTTGTTGCCTCATACTGTAAAATGACTAATTTTTGCTGGGTTTTAAATTCACGGTTTTATCATTTAGGTAATGTGTTCTATGCTAAATTTTACATATTCACTGGGTTTTAATTTAGCTCATTTTCCAGTCAGCGAAATAAGCTGAATTAAAACCCAGCAAAAATTAGTCATTTTACAGTATGAGTCAATTTGCATACTTCTCACTCACTTCTCTCTCAGAATCATTGTAGGTATGCAAATTATCATAAAAACAAAAGAATCCATACCACTGACTAATCAGATTCATTGTAATTATCCACATTATAATAAAAACAAAGGAATCCATAACACTCATTCATCAGATTCATTGTATGTATGCAAGGCAGCAAAAAAATACATGTATAAAAATAATTATAAAAACTGGCATGAGGTTTGAAAAGTGAGGGGGAAAACAAAAAAAATCAATACCACTCAAGGAGTTTCACAAATGCACTTTATAGCAAGCAGGCCATCATTCTGTAACAACAGGGCAAAAAAATAAATAAAAAGGCTCTCAGCAGTGCGAAGTGCTGCAGCGAGACCGGTGTAGGCAGTCAAGAGGGCAGAGAGTAAAAGCCAATTTGGGCTTATCGCAGCTTATAACGGCTAGCTCTTAACAAAACCCTTAGCACTCACTCACAAGATTCAATGTAGGTATGCAAAGTGGCAACAAAATAACATATATAAACATAGGTATGCAATTTGCAT